CTGTGCCAGACAATAATTCAGTTTCCTCTTTCCATTGCCTTTACTTGTTTTTTTTCTAACAGTCATCCCATCTGTTGGAAAAGACTGAGGAACATTTGAAATAGGAAAGGCCAACTACTAAATGCTGATGGTTCCTATAAAAAGCAGACTGTAATCTTTTTCTTATTCGAGCAAGCTCTCTCTCATGAAAACAGTATTTCAATTCCAGAGCAAGATAAGACCAAAAATCCCAATATGGACTTGGTTTGGTCTGTACTTTCATAAGTGGGTACAAATAATTGATTAGGAAAGTAAAATTTCTAGTCAAATTTAGACCCTTGAGTCTCTCCAGTAATCAAAAATGGAGATGACAAAGTTGATGATACACAAAAATGGTGAATTTAGATTGTAACTACAGCAACATAAGCTGTATGCCTGAAAAAAAAATAAAATCTGTCCAAACTTATCAGTGAAAGCAAAGAGAAGAAACTACAGTGACAAAATCTGTGTTCCAATCCAGCAAAGGAGATCCAACTCATTGCAAGGGAAAAAAAAATCCCATAGGTTACAGTGAAAAGTGGGAGCCTCACAATGTGATTTTTTCCTTTTCCACCTGAGGCTTTATGAATAGGAATTCAAGGTCAGGGACCATCTACTGCAGTGTCCGTGATCAGAGTCACAAGGTTCTGTGTGGGCAAAACAAAGGGGGATTGGCTGGAGCATGTGAATTGAGACCGAGAGGGAACATGCTTACGTGGTGATATAGTTTCTTCCCAAAAGTTTCCCTCTGCGCTGCACGCTGGCACATTATCTGTAAAGCGGTTTCAGCTGCGCCAAGGGACCTCATGCAGTGATGAATACGGCCTGGCCCAAGCCGACCTTGAGCTATCTCAAACCCTCTGCCCTCGCCTGGTTGGAAAGAGAAACAGACACATGGAGACTCCTTGATTCCCTCGTGAAATGATCCATGGCTCTGAGCAGAAGTGTCCTCATAGCATCAGAGATAGAAGCAAGCTTCTTAAAAGTTTATTTTGAAGAACTATTGCTTGTCTACTCTAACTAGATCTATATTGACAGACTGTTAATAATATTTACAAGCACAAAGTACACTCTAAGATGGTTTCTGAGAGGGATTTGATTTAAATGTAGTTAATCTTACATTGAAAAATACATCTATGAGATTTGGTACGGGAATTTTGGGGAAGACTTTGCGATTTCCAGGGCTACCCGAG